CACTTATGTACATACCATAAATTCACTGAGGTTCCAACATAATTGTTTCATGCTTTATTAACCCTGAAGACTTCTAAATTTCTTCTTACTGTAGTCTATAGAAACTGTTCGTGTTAATGGACGTGGCAGATATACATTTCCAAATGCCCTAAAGAAGGTGCCAAATCCTTTGGGCCTTGCAGTGTTTGAAAGATGGTTCTTTTTGGCTGACGAAAAACACTTGTTCTCCTTATCAAGAGATAAGCCAACAGATGGAGAATTTTTGCTAAACACTCCAAACATTTCTGCATTTACAGTGCTTCATGAACTTCAGCAATCCACTAGTAAGTCTTCATACTCTGTATATAATCTACTGATGGCTAGACAGTGGCATTCTACGCAAGATTTTGTGGTATCCTCACCTGTGCAAAAAACATGACCTACAACCTTTTGCTTTTATTCTGTTTTCCCAGATGAATTCTCTCCATGTTCTCCAGGGACCTGCAGTCATATCTGCTTGTTATCTCCAGTGTTGGACAAATCTTACAAATGTGCCTGTCCTGCAGGGTACTTTCTCCTGCCATCTGGAAAGTGTGAAAGTGAGTCCATTTTGCATTGATGTGTTGCTGTCCTTTTGTTTCTCCTCATCTCAATCCCTACTGTTGACACACTAATTCATGTAGACCAGACATTCTATGAAGTTGCTTTTGAGTTTTAAAAGTCTATATAATTTGTTTTGGTTATGGGCAATTGGTGGGGTTTTTTTTGTTTTGTTTTAACCTGGGTGGGCTAATTATGTGGTCACTCTCCCAAGAAAAAAATATAGCAATACACACCAAACTGAGCATGTGCAGAGTGACTCCACACCATCTTACCAGGAGATGAGGGGGGACACTGGAAGGGGAGGATCAGTGTTTTTACACAATGCAGAGTATTAACCCGTCGGGGTCCACAGTCGGTATAACAAGCATGCTTTACTGCATATAGACTGATTTTACTGTTGTGGGTTTAGTAACCCTTTTTAAACTCTCTGAAATGTTAAATGTCATCTTTGACTAAATACTTTGTATGAATTATCTTTGAGTCTTGTGATTTTTAATCCTTAATGGTTCTTAGATTTGAAGATTATATATGCTGATTCCAAAGCAATCTACATGATGGAACATGGGTTTCAAGGTGTCTTTGTGAATAAGGAACTTGTACGTCAAGCAACAAACATTAGTTTGATGGACTTTGACTGGAAGAGAAACCTTGCATATTGGACAGATGAACATGGCCTTCTCAAGCGTTCTAATGGAATTTTGGGAAACATTAAAGTATTTCACACAGGTGGAACAGGTACTTAATTTTTTTTTTTTTTTTTTTTTTTTCACCTATAGAACATCTGTGCAAATATTATGGATGCTTGTAAATGTGCTAAAGTGTGAATTGGGAGATTTTAATTTTACACAAAGCCAAGATGCCAAAACATACCAGCATTTAAAAGGTGGACAGTAAAGCAAACCTGTACTGATAGTGGGCTGGCACTGCTGACTTTTTTTTTTTTTTCTTTGAGGGACACTGGATTCAGAGAACTGGGTTACTGCTTACAGGAGATTTTATCACGCAAACAGTGACCAGCGTGTTGACTGCTCCCACTCATGTCTATAGTTTTTTGCTAGTGTCCAAGGAAGGTGAAGGTTTTTAACCAATATTACTTCTCGAATAAAGAGAATATTTTCTTCAGTCAACTTATCTAGATATTTGAGCTGGCCTTTTATGCATCAGTCCGAAATCATCAGAATTTTCTCACAAATGGTGTACCTGGACCCATCTGGACTTGGATGATTGTGGTGTCTGCCTGGAATGTTGCCTTCAGGCACTGGGATCTGCATGGTTTTTCAATCTGTACTCTTTCAAGGTCAAGAACCTGTGGCAGTCTCTGGTGTGACCTTGTCTCTAAAGTCTTCTGTGAGAAGGCTGTGTAGGCTGAGCATCGGGAGCTAACCATTCAGTGCCATTGCCCCGGTCTCCCATACCTAAGCAAGCAGGCCTTCTGTATAGTCTCTGTAGCCATCCTTGAGAGGACAAACTCCAGCCTGCAGTTTCTCCTTTCAAGAGGCTGACGGTGATGACCTGAAATGGTCTCTGCGGTTTTCACATTCCTTGGAGTCTTTTTGATTTTCATGTGTGGCCTTACCTTGGGAAGAGGTATTTGCAGGCTTGCAGTAGCCCATGGGTCAAATTGCAGCTTGGGCTACTGCATGGGCTACTGCATGGGCTACTGCATGGGCTACTGCATGGGCCAAATTGCATCAACCAAATTGCTGATTTTTTTTTTTTTTTTTTTTTTTTTTTTTTTTTTTTTTTTTTTTTTTCCCCTCCAGAATCATTACCTATGCTGCAGCAGCCTTGAGCCTTCTGCTGTAAAGGCTATATCTAAAAGTGCATATTATCCACATGTGATCAGCACTATATTCATATTTAAATGCCCACCTTTTCTACAGATGTGTAAATATGGAAATCCTTGAGTGTTGCCAAATAAACCACTTGCCAAATAAACCAACTTCTAAAGGTCTGATTACATGTGATAGAATACAAATGCTAGATTACTAAATTGTGTAAACATCTCTCCCACTTTCTCCTCACTCATCAAAATTGAATGCATGCAAAAGGAAATGCTCTAGAGTAGGTTACTGCTTTTTATTAAGTCCTTTAAAAACATCCAAACATTATGCTTGCATAAGTGCATGCAGCTCTCTATAGGTAAATTGGGTAAATTGCACATGCAAACATGGGCTCAAACCATGCATCTCTCCACCCCCCCCCCCCCCCCCCCCAAGTTTGCTCAGGAATGCATAATAAGTCTCCATATAGATGTGGTCAGCTGCCGGGGGTTCTTCCCCCCCCCCCCCCCCCCCCCCCCCCCCCCCCCCCCCCTCCCCCCCCCCCCCCCCCATTTATCAGGAGCAGCCTCAAGTTCTATTGGAAAAGTTGACTTTGTGGTTGTTCCTGTATTCTTTTGGCACAAATTAAATTCTCAAACGCTAAAAGTGGTCTTAAATCTAGTTTTGCTATACATGCAATATTACTACATTATATCCCAAATATAATATATAAACTTAACCTTAGGTTTATAAAAATTTACCTATATCTTGTGTAGAAATCTGGGTAAATAAAACAAATTCATCCAATCGGATCATAATTTAAGTGGGCTATAGTGTATAAAGATACAGTAAAATGACTGCCAAATCCTTATGCCAAACACTGCAATGTGCAAAAAGGACGATAGATGGCAGCAGTCTCTAGTCACAAATTTTAATATTCAATTGTCCTTCATAATTTATAAAGCAAATCTACAACAGTATGTAACTTACATCATAGTGCAATGTGTAAAAATGCTCTATTGACCAGTTATAATGGGAGATTCCATTAACCTCAAATGCTTATAAAACTATTATGGTTCAGCTAATCCATTTTCTTGTGGATTCATTCAGCCCCAAGAAACGCGTGTCGTTCCTCTCTAATTTGAGTCCCTCCATGCCTTTCTGTTGGTATCAATCCTGCAAAACGGTCAATGGATCTCCTTTGAATCCCCTGCTTGAAAATGTATAATGTAATGAGCATGTGTTTTCAGACCTTTTTTTTATGTGTTCTACTTCGAGGAACACTTTTTTAGTTTCCGCAATATACTGTAGCCTGTAATGGTATTCTATAAGGCAAGTAAGTTCTTTTATAAAACAAAGTATCTTTAATCATTTTCCTTTGGTATTAGGCCTAAATTCTGTAATCTTCCTAAGAGCATTCTTGCACATCATCCACATAAACTAAATTAGTCTGTCGGATCTACTACCCTTGAAGTCAAACTATATTAAAATTTGAGCCCTTCTGTAAATTATACAAGGTATTAGGAAGTAGTGGACCCACAGTCTTTCAATGTAGTACTTATACATGTCAAGATTTTTATATTGTGTATTAGCCTATCATGGCCAACTGACCTTGAGAACTTCATTTTGGATAAATATTCAAACCTATTTTCAATTTCTGTTACACAAAATTGTCCCATAGGTCCATTGGTGATTCATATAGCAACTAGTGAAAAATTATGCGGTGTTTCTATCTCGGCTTTAAATTCTGTGCAAACCCCATAATTTCTAATGACTAATCAAAGAAGATTTATCTATGAGAACTTTATCCTGAATTGGTCAATTTATCATAGAAAATTTGAAATGAGATTTGGCAACTGTTCCAGATTTGGATAGCTAATACTTCCAGAAAAAATGTTTTTGGTTTGGGATGGTGTTGGTATCGATCAAATCCCTCTCCCTTGAAGCCATGAATGTTTGTTTGCCAAGCTTGGTGCATATTCACTCCTTTCCTATAGTGGCTCCTATAATTTTGTAACTGAAGTTGCTTATGGAACCAAATATAATTATGCTTCACTGAAAGTCAAACATTTTAGACTTTCTGCAAAAATTAAAGTTGGTATCCTGAAATGTATGTATGATGCAAGATCTGTTAACAGAAATGTTGATATTTTCAATTGGTTATTTTGCTTGCTTGGTTTCTTTAATACAACTTGGTGCTTGTCAGCAGCAGTTGGACAAACCTCCACATATTCACCCAACCTGGAGGTAGGTTAGTCTACTTCAACAATGGACCTTGGGGTTGTGGTACTTTGTACTGTACCTTCTTATCCCATCATATATATTACACAAAGATTCAGCTATTGAAGTTTCTCTCCTTAATTATTTCAAATCCTATATACTACTTGGTACTACTAGTGATCCCTGAAAACCTTTCTCTTTAGAGATGCCCATGTTTCCTCCACCTAACAATTGTACTTATAATTCCTCTTGTAAAAAAAAATAATGTAACTATTGTCTGCCCTCCAAGTTGTAAAGCGCTGCTCAAACTGTCAGTGCTATATAAATCCTATATAATACTGATGGATCTGTCCACCTAAGCTGATTTTATCTCCAGATGTTTGTTTTTCAAAACCATTCTTCCCACTTGCTTACCTGCATGTTATATGTCCTGCCCAGGGGCGGACTGACAACTCATGGGGCCCCCGGGCAATAGGGGATCATGGGGCCCGTGTCCTTGCCCAAACTCAAAGCCTATGAAAAAGGTACCGGGGCATCTCATGGGGTCCCCTACTGACCCCGGGCCCTCGGGCAGTGCCCGAGTTTCCAAATGGTCAGTCCGCCCCTGGTCCTGCCTACTGAGTAATTTCTCCAACGCGCAGTATAATAGGTGAGTCAGAACTTTTATCAAACTTTACCTCCCTCCACTCCCAATATGCACTGCCTAAACGTTTTGATAAAGTAATTGTTAATAGGGGGGTTGAAGATGAAATTGTTTCAGTCAAGACACTATAATGCCTGTGAGAAGCAGGCACTGGGTTTTCTTAAATAGGAGCACTCTGAACTAAAATGAAATGAAATTTTAATGTTCGAAGCATAAAAGTGGTGGGGTAAAGAGGTTTTAACTACATTAATTCTAAGCACCCAAGTCAGTAGTAAATAGTCTCAACCGTTCTTTAATTTCCACACTACGCTGCACAACATGGTTTGTTAAACAGTTTAACGCTGACAGGTATAACTGGTAATGAAACTGTCATGGAATCAAGATGGACAATACAGTGATAACTCCATAGCATTGGAATGGCCCAGACAGATGTGGTGTTTCATGGTTGCTAGTGTTAATGGCATGGCTGAAGCCCAGGTCTTGAAGGACAGAGGTCTCTCTGAATCGGTAATATGCACGATCTTAAACTAGGAAGCCCTGAGCCCCAAGGTCTATGATCACATGTGGAAGGCATGCTTCACCTAGTTCAAAGAAGCCTTTACACCAGGAAAAACTTGTTGGGAAGAATCCCAACCTTTTTTTAACAATCAGGACTGGACCTGCATTTGACCATCAAGGGGCAAATCTTGGCACGTCTCCCATTTTAAAAAAAAAAAAAAAAAAAAAAAAAAAAAAAATTTTAAGCAAGACCTTTTTATACAAGGTCTCTTGTAGCATCTCCTGTATATCAACCCATGACTCAATGTAACTTGTTTTGGTTCACAGCACTTCGAAATGCCAGCTTTTGAGCTTGTCAGGGTTATTCTACTTTCCATCTTTACAAGGCTGTTTTCCTTCTTGCAATTGCTACAAAATGTTTGAGCTGGCAGATTTGTCCTGTAAAACAATTTCTGGTTTTGCAGGTGGTGAGGTCCAGAGTCTGTTCCTAAGATGGTTTTGGCCTGTCACCTCAACCAGGACTTCTGATATATTGTCCGGAGTTGGAAAGATGGAAGGATATCTCAACTAGATGTAATTTGTGCTTTGAGGTTTACTTTACAGCCACTTATTCCATTAGACTAATACTTTGCCATTTCTGATGGTCCCCATAAAGGAGAACCAGCTTCTTATTGGGTTCCACCCTTTCTTTTGAAAGCATATGCTACTTGATCTGTTATACCTGTTCTCAGATTTGCAAGGCTGCAACCTGCTCTATTAACATTCTTAGTTTTACTAAATGGATGTTCAGCTCTTGCCTGATATCAGTTTTAGGCCTAAAGTCCTTCAGGCACCTCCCTTGAGCTGTGGGCAACCCCCAGTTCTGCCTTGTGTGCAGTTTAGTGTTGGATCCCTCCTTAATTGGTCTGCTTTTGATGTCCCAACTGTCTCTGAAACCTGTCTCTCAATTAGAAACAACAATTCTATTTCCTTGTTTACACAAATACACTTTTTTTTTTTTTTCCTTAAACACGCATTTCTTCCCTGTTTGCTTTTACTCCTAGTATTGCCCTTAAAACATATATGCTGGGAGTGAGGTCATACCAGGCTGGTCACTCTTTACCTCCTGCAGCAGTAGAACCCAACTGTTTCTGAATCCTGTTACTTTATGAACACCAAGAAATGGATAATGTGGCAAGTACAACTTTTTTGGGGGGCTGTTTGAACAATTCCAATAGCTAAAGTTTATTCAGGTTACATCCCTTCAATGGCTGCATGCTGGTGTCAGGTGACTGGAACTTGATGACAATCAGGGACACAACCATTTTAGAATTTTAAGGTCATAAATGGCATTCTAAGTTTCTCTCCCACCTCCCGAAGTATCCGTTGCCTAGCATCACCTGTTAAATAGGCATTTTGATAATTGAGGGCTAAGACAAATTGCTTAAAAAAAAAAAAAAAAAAAAAAAAAAATTCTCCAGTAGCCACAAACAAGGTTGTAAGTAGTTTAAACAGCTCTTATATGATATAGCTGTGTATTCCTGAAGTTTGGTCTGAAACTGAACACTAAGTAAAATAGTTACTCCTGCAGCGGGGCTCCTCTTGAATGGCAAATGTTAAATCTGTTTTGTTTAAGGGGAACATGAGCAGTTTCACTTACCCTACCCCCCCAGCCCCATGCACAGCTGATCCCCTTTAAAAAAGATATGACCATGTACAAAGAAACACCAGTAGTCCTGTTTGTAAAGTTGGTCATACACAAGTTTAATTTTCTGTACCTAAATTCTTAATCTGTTTTCATGAGTAAACTAATTTTGCTTTAAGAACCTAAAAATTTATACCAGACCTGGATACGTTTTCCATGCTGCGCCTTCAAATTCACAAAGGAGTCTTTTTTAGGATAATTACATTTTAAAGTGGAACTGAAATCGGAAAGCAAAGATGTTATGGTATAGGGAACATCTAGAAATGTTCTGCCTAAACAGTACTCCGAAGTTATTTTGGCGTTCTTCCTGACAAATTAATGCACTTCTGGTGTGGGGGTGTGCCTAGCCACTCTGTTGCCTACAGCTCATAGCTGTAGGTCTACTATGTGATGTCCAACGATCTGCTGACTTAAACTACCAGTTCAAGAAATGTAGTGGTTACCTTGCTTCCTGTTCTGGAGCCTATGACATGAGGAAGCAAAGCCCTGCCTCTACCAGAGATGGTGACAGACTTTGCAGAACAAGGTATGGCAAGTCGGCAGTTGAGAAGATCGAAGATGGCATATAAAGCACACTGCAGATAATCTCCTAAAAATGTGTATAAAATTGTACTTGGGGGAAAATGACTGGGTCAGAACACTTAACCAGGAAAACCAATTTCCCTTGGATACAAGAACAGGTCAGCAGGATGGGGCTGAAATATGTTGAAGGTACCCTTTATCCAGGCTACAACCCCAGTCCAATTTTCCCTTAGCGGATTCATCATCCAGTCCAATGCTAAAATCTGTTTACCTTTTTTCTAGCTTATGCACCTGTTGTGATTGGACATCCAAAGGAAGTTGCTTTTCCTGGTGAAATGTTCTGATTGTCATAATTTTTTGTAAGCGCAATTTTATCCATATTTGTATTTTTAAAGAAGTAATCTACATTTATGCAGTGTGCTGTTTTTTTACCTTCAGTTATAACCTTTGGATATATATAGAGCATGTAAGAGCTGGTTTGCATGTGTAGTGTGGATTGAAGCTCAGGTTTCACAGCTAATCGACAGTAGTTCTGCAGGTTCAGGTCATGATTTTATCCTGTTCACAACTGATGACGTGCGGTTTAGATACCGGTCCTATAGAACATGGCCTTTAATCCGCACCTGAACCGGACCACACTGCTCAGAAATCATACAGGACTTTTTCAAGCCACACTGCCAGTGCACTGGACATATGTGAACAGGCACCAAAGGAATGTCATGCAAATTGGATGATTATAAAGGATTTCTATAGCACCAACAGTTTGAGCAATACTTTACAAAATGAAGGCAGACAGTTGCAATATTTATAAAAGGAGTAGGAGGGCTAGTTGGAGCTTACAGTCAAAGTCAAATCTAAGGGTCAAATGATGCAAAAGATAATAGCTGTGAGGGATGAGCTGATAAAGGTAAAAGCAGGTTAGGCTTTAGAGGTTGTCAGGGATCATCTAGATGTGAATGGATTAGGAGATAGTCAGATTGGGGTAGGGGGTTCTATGATGGGAAGTCTTGGAGGTGATGGGAACTAGAGAACAGGAGGTCATGGAAGGACCGAAGAGTGGTTTGGTTGATATTTTGAGACCAGGTTGGTGATATAGCTAGTGTCTGAGTTGTGGAGAGCTTTGTAAGTTGTTAGTACTTTGAATTTTATTTGTTGGGTGAGTTGGATGCCAGTTGAGTAATTGACAGAGGGGTACTAGACACTGAATGGTTGGCAAGGTGGAGCAGTCTGGCAGCAGCATTCATGGACTGAAGAGGGGATAGCCCACATAAAGGTAATCCAATGAGGGAGTTGCAATAGTTGCGGGATAACCAGGGAGGGAGTTCAAACCACATCCAATCAGCATTATATGTGAACCAGCACTAAAGATGAGCAGTCCTGCCTAGGTACAATGCCTTTTGTCATGTTAAAACCAATAAAATTTATTTTGGGATTTTATCTGATGGACCAAGACAAAGTGGCACATAATTGCGAAGTGGAAGAAAAATAACTGGTCAATTTTTTTTTTTTTTTTTTTTTTTTTTTTAAATCTGAAAGTGTGGCGTGCATTTGTATTCAGCCCCCTTTACTGATACCCCTAACTAAAATCTAGTGGAACAAATTGCCTTCAGAAGTCACCCAATAAATAGTCCACCTATGTGTAATTTAATCAGTATAAATTCAACTGTTCTGTTGAGCCCTCAGGTTTGTTAGCAAACATTGGTAAACAGCATCATGAAGACAAAGGAACACACCAGACATGTCAGGGATAGAGTTGTGGAGAAGTTTAAAGCAGGGTTAGGTTAATAAAAAAAAAAAAAAAAAAACCAAGCTTTGAACGTCTCATGGAGCACTGTTCAATCCATCTGAAAATGGAAAGGATGTGGCACAACTGCAAACCTACAAAGACATTGCCATCTACCTAAACTGAGGCTGGGCAAGGAGAGCATTAATCAAAAGCAGCCAAGAGGACCATGGAATCTCTTGAGGAGCTGCAGAGATGCACAGCTGAGGTGGGAGAATCTGTGCACAGGACAACAATTAGTCGTGCAGTCTACAAATCTGGCCACAAGTCCCATTTTGCAGTCTGTGAGAAGCCATGTGGGGGACACAGCAAACGTGTGCAAAGTTCTCTGGTCAGATGAGACCAAAATTTAACTTTTTGACCTAAAAGCAAAACGCAGTGTGTAGCGGAAAACTAACACTGCACATCACCCTGAACACTCCATCCCCACCGTGAAACATGGTGCTGGCAGCATTGTTGTGGGGATGCTTTTCTTCAGCAGGGACAGGGAAGCTGGTCAGTTGATGGGAAGGTGGATGGAGCCATATACAGGCCAATCTTAGATGAAAACCTGTTAGTCTGCAAAAGACTTGAGACTGGGGCGGAGGTTCACCTTCCAGCAGTACAACGACCCTAAACATAAAGCAAGAGCTACAATGGAATGGTTTAGATCAAAGCATATTCATGTGTTAGAATGGCCCAGTCACAGTCCAGACCTAAATCCAATTGAGAATCTGTGGCAAGACTTAGATTGGATGAAGAGTGTCTGAATAGCAATTTGACAGAACTTGAGCTATTTTGCAAAGAATGGGCAAAAATGTCTCTCCTAGATGTGCAAAGCTGGGAGAGATCCCCAAAGACTTGCAGCTGTAATTGCAGCAAAAGATGGCTCTGCAAAGTATTAACTGGGGGGGGGGGGGGGAGGGGTCTCTGAATACAAATGCACGGCACACTTTTCAGATACTAGTTTGTAAAAAAAATAAATTTGAAAACAATTTTATAATTTTCCATCCACTTCACAATTATGCGCAACTTTTGCTTTTGGTCTATCACGTAAAATTTGTTTTCAGTTGTAACATGACAAAATGTGGAAAATTTCAAGGGGTATGAATACTTTTTTCAAGGCACAATCGGTGAAGCATGATACGTATAGGGGTTCTATTGGGTAAAGCTCAGCTACAGAGAGCCTACAAGCAACACTTTGCTCTGCCTCCCTTTGGGCACAAGCAACACTTTGCTCTGCCTCCCTTTGGGCACAGCTTCTAGAGTTCAATTCCAAGTCAACGTGGCATTCACTTCAATCTTTCAAACGTATCTTGTCCTGTTGCTTTTGAAAGTGATTGTAAACCCTCACCTTGTAAAACCACCCATTCTGTTTAAAATAGAAATAAAAGGCAAATCATTTGTGTACAGCTGCACACAAACTTCCCAGTGAGGCTGTGCAGGGGTCATGTCAGGACAAGTCTGATCTTTGGAGAGTAGACTGACTTCCCAGCAGAGCTAGAGAACTGACCATGCAGTGTTCACCTGCCTAGTGTGGTCAGCCTTTAATAGGAAAGCAGAGGGACTGGCAAAAACACCAGTGATTTCACAAAGGAAGGAATGCAAAGAGAACAGGATACTTTTTCTTCTAAGTACATGGTACAGCACGCAGATCGGCAATATGAAATGTTGGGTTTAAATTCTTCAATTTCAAAGACAGCTGTACATTCAGACAATCTTTAAAGAGATACTATCGGAACCAGCCAATATTCGGAAGGTATGGTAAGATTCTAATCTCAGGTGGAAAAAATGCAATAACGTAAGGGTCTTATGGCTTTAAAGGCCAAAAGTTGTCCAAATCTGAAATGTATGGCTTAGGCACAAATTGCATGTGCACAGCATATATCTTAAAAATATTAACCGAAGGATCTTCTGTGAGCCAGCGCCCCCCCTTTGTCAGGCAAAAAAACTTTTAATTGTTACTTATTCTAATGTATTGGCTTTGAATGTAGAATTTTGTACTAAAATATTCATACTGATTTTGAAAATATTGAGACTGCTAACCATAATTTTCTATCTCCAGTTTGCATGGCAAAGATTGACATTGCTACTGGGAACATTTACTGGCTGCCTTGTGAAAAAAACAAGATTTGTGTAACAAAGCATTCTGGTTCTGGAGCAAAGGTCATTTATGTGTCCAGCTACTCCATACAACACTTGCTGCTTAACTGGGAGACAAGGTTTCTATATGTAGTGGAAGATGGTACCATGATACGGCAGATGAATCTAGTTGGTGGCGATGTACAGGTTGTATTCAATGGCATGGGCATCACACGTGTAAACTTGGATCCCAAATCTAACAGCATTGTGTGGCAATCACAAGATTTTGGTAAGTGCTAAATTACAACTTTGATACAATCCAAAAATATTCTGGAAGGCAAAAAGCTCTGAAACCTATATTTTCAGAATGTCCTATGTAGTTGACACTTTTTATTAAATAGATGCCATACTGCACCTTAGTAACCATTACAGGTTTGTCTATTTTATTGGTAGCAAATTGTGGGCTCCATTCATGAACGCACATTGCATGCTGTATTTAGGTGATCTGACACATTTTCCCCAAATAACTTATGCAATGCTGAAAATGTCAATTGCCTTATGTGATCTTTACTCCCCAAATGGTGAGGTAAATGCTGCATAAAATGGCATCAATCCACAAAAGGAAATTAATGCAAGAGTTAAGCAGTGGTCAAGGCATGCAGTATTTAAGGAGTATAAAAACAGCCACTTTGGAGTATTTTCTACTTTTTTTTTTTTTTTTTTTTTTTTTTTTTGGATCAGTTCTCAACCATAATGCATAGAAACCTAAATATGGAAACACACAATCATTTGGTTTGATTTACTTGAGGTATAACTAGAGGCAAAAGTTTGTTTTTTAGTTTTGGACAGTGAAGATGGATTAGAACACCTGGCAAGCTTTTATTGCTGTCTGTGCCCCTGTTAAGACTATTTACCCTCTGTCTTTGGGTTTCTTTTGCCTTCATTTTCAATGCAATCTAAACTTTGGAAGATTTACCCTCTATTACTTTACTGGGCACAACCCAATGGGGACACTAATTTTGGTGACCTGGGGGGTCCCAAGGTACTTTGTAGGGATTTCCTCACTTCCTGTGTTGGCTATGGGACAGGAAGTGGAGGTCAATCTCTCCAGTGGGACACAAATGGCATAAACTGACAGGGGTTATAACACTCCAAAATAAGTGGAGTTGTGGCTAGTTCTACTTTAAGGCAAATACTGTGCACTTTGCAAGTTTCTGCAGAGTAAGTGGGTAAAGCTTCACTTTACAAAGGATACCCAATCACATGCAAGAAAATGTTTTTAAAACTGCATTTTTGCTTTCACTTAATTGGATGATGGAAGTTGGCAGAATTTCCCCTCATTTTATGAAGCTCTGGAGCAAGTGCACTTACAAAGTGAGAAAAAAAAAATGACTGTACGGCACTACACATCAAATACAAAATGTGAATACTCTAAATATAAGAAGAGTCCCGATTAAACTTCTAAACAAATATCCTTCTGCCTATGACCCACCGGAGAGCTCCAAAACAGAGTGCACAATTCCTCCACCAGATGTCTGCTCACCACCAGCAGTGACCTCACATATGCTTGGTCTAACTGCACTTTTGGTCCTAATTTGGACTCTGAAGATCAATTTGAATAATGAATCCCAATGGCTCACTTCACAGAACCCCCTTCACCGGTAGTAATCCAGCCAGCTTGCGAAGCAATCAATTTGGCCTTGCCTAACAGTATGTGTTAAACAGTGTTTTTTTTTTTTTTTTTTTTTTTTTTTTTTTTTTTTTTTTTGTTTTGCACACATTTGCAAATACATGCGTAAGCCACAGTCCCAATTTTTTAGTTGGGTCCACAGTATACAGAGGATTCTTGGTGTGGGACTGTGGCATGTATTTGTAAATGTGTGCATACAAAACATTGTTTAACCCATACTGTTACAGGGCGAAATTGGTGGTTTTGCTAGCTGGCTGGATTACTACCAGTGAAAGGGGTTCTGTGGAATGAGCCATTGGGACCCATTCATCAAACTGATCTTCAGAGTCCAAATTGGGACCGAAATTGCAGTTGGACAAAGCATTATGTGAGGCGACACTGAGGTGAGCAGACATCTGGTGGAGGAATTGTGCACTGTGTTTTGGAGCTCTGGAGGTCATAGGAGGAAGGATATTTGTTCAAAAGAAATTTTTTGGGACTTTTCTTATTTAGAGTATTTACATTTTATATTTTGTGTAGCGCTGCACAATCTTTTCTCATCTTGATTTTGCCCACATATTAGATGGGGTTTCTTGTGTTTTTAGCAGCTACTTAGTGTTTTGGGGGGAGACTTTGTATTTAA